CATAATTATCAAATTAATATATTATTTTATGAAATATTGGCTTTATATAACACGATATAATAATTCATACATACAATTATTAATATCACTTAACATAAATATGACAATCTGCCGTCATTTTTCATTTTTTAAAAATTTAATTAACATTTTGCAAATTTAAAAAGTAATAATAACAATGATCTCAATATTAATCTAAAAATTTTTTTTTAAATATGGGGCTAACACATTTATCATAAAAATATGTAATTCACATATACATACCCATATGTAGATTTTGTATGTGTGTATACATATATACATATTACATAATTAGTACAAGCCGTTTCTATGAAAATAGAAAATATTTATTAATTTCAAAATTATACTAAAAAAATAATTTCTTAAATATAAGAAATAATTTATTTTAAAAGAATTTTCACATTTTTGTCATCATTATACAAAAAAATATAAGTTTAAGTGATATTGAGTTTTATATATATTTTTTGGCGGTAAGAAAGATTTCTCTTGAAAAATTTTATTGTAATATTGTACTACTATTCATATTGCATATTTGTGTTATTTTATTAAATAAAGTACCCTTACAAGAAAGAGCCCATACAAGAAGGTATTGCGCTACCTATGATAAATTGGTTAAGGGATAATTCTTGCTTAATAATTTTATTATTCTTACATGTGTTTCTTTTACGAAATGTAGGCTCACCCTATAACATGATGCAATAATAATTACAATGTTGTTTATATTGATACTAAAGTTGATACTAAAATTGTATATTGATATTAAAAATTGCGTAGAAATGTGTATCTTTTGCTGTTATTTTTCAAATATTATGACACGATATCTATGATATAAATCAAGATCTATATCTCGTTAAATACATTTGAACAAAATTTAAATAATTATAGTTTTGAGCACTTCTTGAATAAAAAGAAACATTTTAGTACATGTGGCGTTTGATAAAATAAATCAAAATTTAAGTTTAAATAGTATTAACACCTAGCAAATTTCTTGAGAACTTGTATCAAAACAAACATATGTTTTATTTACATGTACATACATAAATTTTATATATACATATATATTAACGTATATATACATATATATTAACGTATTTATCTATTTATTTATTTATTTATAGACATAATCTTTAAGATATTTTCTAAATGGTTTTATTTTTCTTAATGAAATTTTGTCATGAGTTATAAATTTTGTAAAGTAACCTTTACGTAATCAAATTACTTTCTATGTATCTTTTTCCTGCCTTATTTTCTATCTTTCTATCTTTCTATCTTTCTTGCTATCTCTTGTTTCTATTCTTTTATATTCTATTTCTTCTTTCCTTCTATTTTTTCTTTCTATCCTGTAATTTCTTTTTATACTTTTCCTATCTCTTTTCTTTCCATTTATCCTTTCTACTATTCTGTCTCTACTCTCTATTCTTTTCTATACATTTATTTTTTGAAAATACAAACACGTGTGTTGTGACAAACATTTTTTTGACGAAAGAGACCACCATCTTCTCGCGGTTTCCATTGAGCAACAATATACGTAATCTATTAATGAAACTGCAATAAAATTACTACTACAATAATAGTACTTTCCTTTATTACATTTACATTTTTTTAACGTTATTTATATTTGCGATTGATGAAATAAAAAGTGTACTCACTGAATAGTTACAAAACAAATAATATTGAAATTAACTTTTAAGCGTTTTCTGTATTAAAAATGTCATTTTCTTATATTGAAAATTAAAGTATTTTTTTTTTTTTTTTTAAGAAAAATGCGTACATATTGGCCAAGAGTGAATTTTTTTAATTTATTTATGCTTCTGCTTTTCATCATTTTCTAATACATTTATATTTACTTTAAATATTTATTCATTGGAAAATATATAATTATATAATTATATTTGTCCTATTAATTAATAATTACATTTATTTTATTAAATTTATAATTATATTAATTTT